CCAACGGCTGGTTTTTCCTCTCCACATTTCTCAAGGTTTCTATTCGTTCTTACGTTTGTGTAAATTGCGTGCGCATGTGTAAAGACCAGCAACTTTGATTTGATTATATAGACTCTGACAGCGTCACCTTCACACAGACTTTCGCACCGATGCAACCATTACAATGTCTTGACCAAACTGTTTGTATTCTACATCGTCCAAATGAACAACGTGGGACAGTTGGCCTTTGGAGTGGGGTCTCGCAATCTCCAGAGCTTTCACACCGTCTCCGACAAAGGTAGGGGCAATAGTCACAACCACAAGCGAAGGAATAGGATCCGCGTTCACTCCTGCAGCACTGAGAAGACTTCCGATGATACCTGCGCCACCCTCCACCATGATAGTCCGTATACCAAACTGACTTCTCAATTTCCGGAATCCATCTTGCAAATCCACTCTCGGTGTCGCCTCCTCCGCGTTTTCAACACTGTCTTCAACGGTTTGGTCGCCGCAGACGATAATGCACACACCTTGCTCCTCCAGCATTTTACGACGCTCCTCGGAGCACCTCTTTGTTGTCAAGATGATGGGCTTTCCTCTGGGGTGTCCCATCAATCGAGAAGTTTCGACCGGGAACTTCAGCAGTGTCGAATCAACAACGACTGGCCGTGGTTGGTTCACAATGTCTGATTTTCCGGACACTCCACGAAATCTATTGAGTGCCTCACAACCATCATCTCCTAGAATGTCGATCCTTGCGTTCAGACGAGGATCATCTCCCAGCACAGTGCCCACACCGACCAAAATGGCGTCATGGAGTGTCCGTAATACATGTGTCATTATCAAAGACTCCCGACATGAAATGGCCAGCGAGCGGCGATCGGGAAGGGCAATGAATCCATCGAGTGACTGGGCGTACGTGACAGTGACAAATGGCATCAAGGAGGAATCAGAGCGGGCTTTGGGGTTGGGAAGTTGGCTGTCCAGAGGAATTGCCTGGTCCGATTCCAAAGAGATTCGATGACCTAGAAGAGCGATGGCGTCTTCTGCCACTGTCATTTTGAATTTTGACTGAGTTTGACTCCTAGCCCAATAATGTCCATGGTTTCTTGGTTTCTTTGTCGGCTCATGGCGCTGCTGTGGTCGGAATCGGGAGGCACAGCTGTCCACATAGACTCCCCGAACTCTGCGCACGATAATGTTGCCGCAGACGAGAGGAGAAGATATTTCCCCGTCATTGTAATCTCAGAAAGACAAATACAGCAAAGTGAAGTGAAGCTAAAGAGACCCGCAACTTCTGAACCATGCAACCTCCCCGAACCGAAACTCGCAAAAAATCCACAGTCAAATGAAACCCTCAACAACTCCACACAAAGAAGAACCGAATTGAATGAAACCCCACCAAGGGACGGGCGGGCGGGCATTTGTGACATCGCTGCGAGCGCCTCGTGTGAGTCGGCGCGACGACGAGGACGGGGCTAAGGAGAGAGAAATGGAGGGGCGGGGGGGAGGTGGGTGTGGGGAAGGGCTGGCCCGAGACACAGAGGATGCCCCAGACCACATTAGCCCGCCAAAAACTTCGTCCCCAGAAAGATCTGACACTTCCGGACTACATTTAAACGATGCTTAGAGATCTGTCAATTTACCAAGTAGCTTCTTTGAAGAACAAAGAATTAATCTTCAATTGACAAACAACTCTTCCAATCCCATGTCGCTCCACTCCTAAACTGTAGCGATAGCATTGGCTGGACTACCGACAGCTTTCGGCAATCGTAATGGTGGTGCTGTCAAGAAAAAGCGATAGCCACCCTGGCGTCTGCCAGCCGTTATTTCCGTGCGCAGATACTTCGCGAGCCTGTTGAACGACGATGTGATAAGTGCATCAATCGGATTCTGGGAGAGACATAGGCATCTAACACTAACTCGGAGAGGTACCAGAACTCGCCGAGGTTTACGCCGAGCTTGAACAAGCAGTGCTCGTGAATTGGCAATGGATGATACGGTAAAGAGGGGTCCGCGGGAGGGCGCGACGGGTGGGCTTCGACAGCGAACTACGCAAAGATTAAACCAATCGCTCAACGACTTCCGCGACACAAACTGGCGCATCGACAAATTAATACTCACGTTATCTGCGATCAAACTCACAAGACCACTGTCAGTGATCCATTGCAGAAGTTTGGGATCTCTTCCGTCCAATACCGAGCAGGAGTTTTCCATCATGTGTTTTGATGGCTCCCCATTTTCTTCCAGTATCATGGCACCAAACCCGGTATGGAGGCAGACTGGCAGTAGACACTTGGGTCAACATATGGGTCTGTAGCATCACCAGAGAACAATTCGTCAATGGAGGACACTCACCCATATCGCCCTTCTCCACTACTATATTATCAGATTTCAAAACGTGTTGAATTTCTTTGTATCCTATGTAAGTTCGTCCACGGCCATAATAGTGCTCCAGATCTGCCCATGATATTTGCGGATAAGAGAGTCGAAAACAATTCTACCCCAGCTTTTCCACAGCACATACCGATAAGCACGGCTCGACCCTGAATGGGCTTTTCCGCCATGTTTTCAACACCAAGCTTCAAAGCGCCTTTGTGAGAACCAAGCGCAGTCTCCGTTCCATCGGAGTGATAAGCCACAGGACCGACGACATCAACGTTCGGGAGATAACCATTATAGTAGCAATGCACCGGCTTTCCTTGCCCGGAGATATCCCACATTGACCCGACGTGCGATAATGCATCCCACTGTGTGGTGAATTGAAGAGTCAAGTGGACTTATGACGGTAAAGACTTAGAGAAGAGAAGGTTGAATGAACATAAAATGAAAACATACCAATATCGTCACATCCGATGCTCGTAATTTGCTTGTTTTTGACGTTACCAGGTTGGTTGAATCTAATGCCCATGCGGTCATTTCCTCAAGATGCGCACATAAAACTACCTGCATTTGACGATACTCACGCCCACTTTCCATCCGGCCGCTTCGTTGGCTCCACCACGGGAGAGAGCCGTTGGGGATGGACGAGGTGATTCACGCGTGGAACATCAAGCGGAAAGCACAAGCAGAAAGTGCGTCCTTCCCGAATTTCCGCCACGCCCTGCAAGACTTTCTCAGGTGTGAGGAGATTTAATCTTCCTTTCTGATCATCTTCTCCCCAATCGCCCCACTAGGATAAGTTCTCATCAGAAATCGAAGACAACAAATTGCATGAAGCACAACGCACCGTCGAGCCAGGAGGACGACTAACCCAGCGAGGCATGAAGAGAGCGGACTCGGAAAGAAAAGTGATGCAAAGTGTTTCGGGATGTTTTGTGCCGAAGTGCGCCATACCCAGTTTAACGAAGGCACCAAATATTACAACCAGAGAAAGAAGCTGCATAAATTACTCGCTAAGTAACGCAGACTCAAAGTAACACGACGGTGCGAATGCTCGCGGTTTGGGCTTAGTATGGCTTTTCACCTATCCTTTTCTTTCAAAACAACACAAATACATTTTGAAATTGACCGAGCAGTCACGCCAGCAAAGCTCCGTAATTTACAACTCTCTCGATTGCCATCGTGACTTATGTGAAGGTGGAATACATAGCATATTCTGACTCATCATGTTGAATCTCAGCCAAACTCATATGGCAGCCCATCTACCACCGAATGTGACTTTCTCACCCAGGCCACCCGCTGCAGTTGCCTTACGAGTCGCCTCAATTGTCCACCTTCTGGCACGATGGGGTATCGAGTCTGCAGCTGCGACTGCAATGACTGCTTCCCCAAATGCCCAAACTTTCGCAACTTCGCCAGTCGCGGCGCGGTTGAATGCGGCCTTGGATTCCGTTCTCTCTTCACTTTACACTAACAAACTGGACCAGCACCTTTCGCGGCGTGAGTTGGGACTTCTCAGCGATTTCGAGCTCGGGCAGTGGTGTTCGGGGAAAAGAGCATCGATCGAACGCCGTTGGGAGAGTTTGGTATGTTTCCAAAGCCGATTCTTCCTACAGAACCTTAATTGCATTGCTCGTGATATCATTCTGTTGCGAGCTCAGCTCAGTTTTCGACCATTTCGAGTTCGCCACCACTCAAACTGATCATCGACATTGTTATCCCTATTTCTATTTAAAGGCCTATCTCCTCTGGTATCTACAGATCCTCCCACGGCCATCCGCCCTCCCACGACCATATCAGCCAATCACCACAACACACTCGCGCGATACTTTATTCCTCGCATCCGGTGTTCAACCCCACAATTCTAGCAGTACTGACCTATTCCTTTCGAAGTTTGCGGCATCAAAACCGGCTTCAACTCATTCACCACTCGTGCTGAAAGATTCCGTCAATTTGTACGAAGCGTTCTACTGGCGCTCTCGTGCGCAACGTGTATTAGACGTCGCAGCAACACCTTCACCAGAGTTGAATGGAACCAACAACCTCAAGCCCGCGCGCATTCCCAGAGCTCTTACAAGCATCTCCCGCAACATTCCCTCTGCCATCACCTCTGCATCTGAAATTCTTCTCAGTTCTGGTGCTCTTATGCCTTCCGAGGTTGTGAATGTGCCGCCCACGCACCCTGATTACGCGCGTGGCATCTTGAGGGACTTTGCACCCGGCACTGAGACTCCCTACTGCATGTTACCCGCCGAACAACGCTCCCCTTTTGAAACTGTAGTGGAGACGCGGCTCGCCGCTGCTGGGTGGTGTACAGGGATGTGTGAGTGGGATGTGGACGCAGATGGTGGTGAAGGTGGTGGTTTCGCCTTTGTGAATCCTCTCAGTGCAATTTGGAAGGCGGAGGGGGACAATGCAACGTGAAGTTCGGCTGATTCTGGGACTTGAAGACACCTACTTGCACACTTTGTGTGGCAACGTGATGTGTTTAGTATGCAAAAAGTGTAATATTTGTCTCTAAGAGAATACAAGATTAACCAGTTGGACAAAAAAATTAGAAGGAACTCAGTTGAAGCTGCTTCCATTTAGTTCTAAAGTATCCTTGATAATCGCAATATTTGAACTCGTTGCCATCCATGTGCCCTATGGTGTAATGGTTAGCACTCAGCACTCTGAATGCTGCAATTTGAGTTCGATTCTCAATAGGGCCTTTTTTGTTCCATCTCATAAAAACAGTAACTCCAAAAACATTAGCAACTTGAATTTTGCCGGTGAACCCTTCTCAGTGAAAAGGTTACTCAGTAACACTTGGTTCTAGCGAACCTGCATCTGATTTGTGGATTGGATTGATTCGGACAAAGTTTGTTGACCAACAAATTCTTTGCGCTCATGCGGTTCATGACTGAATAGTGGTCCTGCTCTTGTATTATAGTCTACAAGATGTGTTCTGAGCGGTGCTCACTTTGCCACAAAAAAGTGAGCACGACGATTCAGTTGAGCCAGTTTTGTTGGGTTGGCCGGTCCCTATGCACTCAGACCTGAACTCATCCACGATCGTTGCAACCATGGCAACTGGGACAGATGTAGCGAAAGATATGTATTCAAAACGTGAACATGAACAGTCAGCAATCATCGCGCATCAGTGTCTGAGCTCTCTGTCGTAGGTGTGAGTATGTAGTTGTGGCACATGGCCAATCGCACCCTGCCCAACTGTCTGTCCTCCGCTGTCCGCACAATTAGAGTAACAACTAACAGGTATGTACGGATTATGTAGTCACTATAGCCATGGGCACAGTGCACACCAGCCTCTGAAACCTGAAGTAGACTCTCGGTTTCATTTTTACGATGTTTGTGGTCATAATGTTGGAGAATCGCTCTATTTGAGGAGCAAAACATAAAAAATTTTAACAAGGGTTTATATAATATTTTAATGAGTGTTTCAATGTGCCCTATGGTGTAATGGTTAGCACTCAGCACTCTGAATGCTGCAATTTGAGTTCGATTCTCAATAGGGCCTTTTTTTGCAGCAACAGCGCTCTTGGAGCGGCACTCTGCCTCAGAAGTACACTCTGGAACTTCTCTATGGGTGTGCAGACAGATCCTGGTATTTTGAACTATATTACTAATGTCTGCGCTCCATCTTTGCTGAAATTACTTGAGTAAACAAGGTCATCAGAACACCCATCATAACCATGAACATCCAGATTGGGGGTATCGGTATTCCCGATTCCCCCAAAGATGTGTTGAAGTGGCTCCAGAACCGACGATTGGGTTTCCCGCGGAGTGTTGCAGCTTTTCCCGATTTCTTTGCGGATTCTATAGAAGACTTTAACGAATCCATCTCTTCCTCAAACAGAGTCGTGACTGGGGAGTGATAGGGTTTGGATCCAGTGTTGGGTGTTGAAGGTAATATAGGTTAAAAGGGAAGACCCAGAACTCCCAGCAGAACAACTTTGCAAAACTCACTCCTCCGTGCGGAACCAGTCTCGTAAACACGGTTGTCACCCCACTGCAGCTCCTCACCAGAGGTCTCGTCCATTGCGATGCAGAAATACATTTTGCCAACCTTCATCGTCAGTCAACAGTAAGATCGCCGATGAATTACTGAAAAGTTACTGATCAGACATCGATGTCGTCGGCGCACTTACATAGCTCATGACAGCAATTCCTATTGATCCCGGTGAGGCGTGACAAATGGGATTAGATACAAAAATTTTGCTGATGGTGGCCCCACCCCACTTGAGGACAGCAGAGAAATGGACCGGTGACGAGAGTGGCACATCTCAGACATTGACGACCCCTTGACAAAGTGCCAACTCACCTTGATGGGTTCCGCGGGACCCGGCACGTTGGAAATTCCACCGTACGAGGGTGCCATGGATGCTTCACCGAAACTGCACCGGAAGACCGTACATGTTTCAGGAATCGAATAACTAATAACTGTGCATGAATCACCCACCTTGCGGGAAACATCCACGCCCCTCTCAACACCATATCCAACATTTTCGCTTGCGCGGCCAGAGCGGGCCTGAAAATCTTTTGCCAATCCATCCATTCGCTGACGTGATGGATATACTGTATTATGGGTAGCGGCGCCGCCGACATAGGCATTGGGCTTCGCGGGAAGATGCAATTAAAGGCCAAAAGCTTGTTGGACAGGGATGTGTCGGAGAGGGTTCGGCTTGAGACCGGAATTGCGAAATTCATTCGCTCGTCGCGAAGTGCACCGCGCTCGCGAAGGTACCGCTCGATTGCACGACCAGTGACTCCGAGTACCACATCATTTAAGGAGACACCAAGAGCATCCTAGTATGTTTCAAGCAATAAGCAGTGAAGGGTAGTCAGTCTCTCTGAACCCTTCAGAACGCCCGTGGAACTCAAATACAGTTCTATATTTTGGGCAACACACCTTCATGGCTTTGACCTCTTGCAGCGACACTCCGTCTTTAGAGAAGTAAATTTGTTTCCTCGGGTGCGAATCCAACGTTGTGAACTCTCTCGTTTGCCTCTCCCCCTTCCTCCCAGTCAATCGCAAACTGGCCCTTGACTTCACAATCCTGGTTTGGACAAATAGCGCGTACATTATGTACCCGAGGAAACCAATAATCGTGGCATACACTGTGCAAATGAAGGTCAGCACAGGATTGGGTTTCGCGACGTGCCTGAGGCTGTATTGGGCAGACGTCGGTTGATCCGTGAATAGGGAGCGAACCATCCCCTCTCCGTCAGCAATGGCATGCTGTGGTGAAATGGTGTGAGGTGTTACTATTTGGGAGACACCAGCGTCAGAGGATTACACGCTGCAAAACACGTACGTGACAGCGGTCGATTGTGGCCATCCTGTGGAAGGACAGAACCAAGATACATCAATTGATGTGCTAAACATAGAAAGCTCTGAACTTGAAAACGTCGATCTTGAATCGTGGTGTCCGAAAAGAACATCCGAATCCGTGCCACATCATCACTAGACCACCCTTTTGTTGCTCACCGTCCTCCCTCTAACCCCCTAACGAGATAGAACCGCCATAGTGGCTTGTCCAGATCAAACGGTTTACAGGACAGCTCCGAAACGAGCGTGTGGAGTTGTTCGTCTGTGCCAGGTGCGGGCTTTCCAGTCCGCGATTCGGGGGAGGTGGCATGAGTCAGTCAGTGAACATCGGTTTGGTTCAGTCATTAACAAAGAATTCTGGAGCGAGTTCTGGAGCCCCACACGCCGACACCATCTCCAAACGCAGTAAGCATAGCCCCCAACTGATGCGAACAGAGCACTCGACGAGAGGCATACCCGGGCCTCCACACCACCACCAACACTCACAAGCTCCACCTCTTGTATGTGATCGTCCCACACGAAATCCTTCGCCTCGCCTTCGAAGTAGGGTCTCCTCCACCAGTCCCTTTTGTCACCCTCCCTGACAAGCTTTCCGTAGAACCTACAGCGAGTAGGATCGTCGGCGCGCACCCGCTTGGAGCGCAACGTGGTGCGGACGTGTTCGAGGGTCATTGGGTTGGCGAAGGGAGGATCGTAGACTGTCGGAAGTACATTAGGGGATGTTTCGAAGGTTCGTAGCGATAATAGGTCGACTGGGTGGTGAGGAATTCAAATGGAAAGTGTTCCTTCGACAGGGGGACTTACTAGACACTGCAGAGCCCGCCATGTTGTCAAAGTTGGGAGAGGTAAGACCTCCGAAGAGAATATCAAGCCCCGTGAGGTAGGAGCGGGGCATCACGGAAAATGATGTTGCTTTCACAACTTCAATGGCGATTCGAGGGAATGTAGGTCAGAACAGACGAGGACGCTGGCGGTCACCGAAAACAGAAAACGAGGTCGGGTGAGGGAATTCTTGTGTTGATGGTGTTCCAAAATCTCGCAAATAGACGAGGGTGACAATGACTATGAACAATGCATATGCTAGTCGGTAGAAATTGGCCGATTACCCATGTGATTTGATTTGGCACTGGAATCCTGTTTTTGAAAAACGCAAATTAATGATTTCATAACGTACTCACTTTGGCGGGAATCAGACAGAGGGTGACGACACGAAATTCTATTTGCTTGCATTTGCACGTCTGCCCTATAAAGTTCGTTCGCACAACATTCACCTCAAGCGCCCCATCCCTTGACTCCCGTCACACCAACACAGTCATTCTTCCAGCGCCAGAGTATACTCTCGCTGCATATGCCACCCCAATGTCCGCAGGCCGCCTTGGCAGTGGGAGGAACACGTTTTGAACTTTCGTTTTGGAGGACTCACGGACGCGTTCGTTTGATGAAGCGAGGGTGGTGGTGGCGGGATAGAGCGCGTGGGATGTGGTGGAGGCAGAGAGTTTGGTGGTCGAGGTTTTGGCAGTGACCGCCGGGAGGTAACCCCACCTTAAGTGTTCAGCGAGTGGGATTTGAATGGGAATGGAGGTTTATGTAAGAGATTAAAGGACAGAATTGATTAGGTCAGCGAAACATGAGTGGATGAGGTAAGGACCGGGGCGTTGAGTTGTTCGTGGTTGAGAGACGTGAGTCCACCGCGACATGACGCGATTCAAGTGGAGCACGGCACATGGCGCCATCCACAAGCCGGTGCTCAAACTCGCAATTTGTCAATAACTCTCGAGATTCATCAAAATCGACGACGTGCAGGTGGCCACAATCGGCCACCATGACTATTCCGGACCGAGAGCGCACCCGCTCGGTCGCCACTATGAGCAAGAGAAAGCACTCGCTCGATCGCGCAAGCATTTAGGTATCAATTGAGTATTCGTGCAAATTGGGACGGTGGGCTGGCTGATGCAATTTTGGTCCTGATTCGATCCTGTCCTCCCCAAAAATCTGCCCCTCAACCCATCCAGTTCTCTCTGAACCCGTTTTCAACTTACTGTCCCATCAAAACTCTAGCTGTGCACTCGCCAAGGCCGTACATAGCGCCCTGGACGAATGGAACTACCACCCAGTAGAAGATCTGGGTACCCAGTGGCTGCGGAGGAGGCGGGGGAGGCATTTGAAATTGTGGATGAGCAGGCTGTGACTGGTTGGGGTGGGGTCGGGCAGACATGGACGGGAAGGTGGGGATGTAGGGGTTGCAGAGTTTCTGTGAATCAATTGGTCTGTGATTGATGGGGTGGGTAAATGCATTCCACCAAAACTGGAACGATCGTCATTCGTTGAAAGCACGACCATGGCTGCGTACGTTGGCCTTTTGATTCGAGTTCTGGATTTTCA